ACACTCCCTCATACTGGTCACTGGAAGTTCAACATGGCACCTCATGGCAAAGAACTCTCTGAGGATATGAAAAAAATAATTGTTGCTCTACATAAAGATGGCCTAGGCTATAAGAAGATTGCCAAGACCCTGACACTGAGCTGCAGCACGGTGGCCAAGACCATACAGTGGTTTAACAGGACATGTTCCACTCAGAACAGGCCTCGCCATGATTGACCAAAGAAGTTGAGAGCACATGCTCAGCGTCATATCCAGAGGTTGTCTTTGGGAAAGACAGTATGAGTGCTGCCAGCATTGCTGCAGAGGTTGAAGGGGTGGGGGGTCAGCCTGTCAGTGCTCAGACCATAGCCCGCACACTGCATCAAATTGGTCTGCATGGCTGTCGTTCCAGAAGGAAGTCTCTTCTAAAGATGATGCACATGAAAGCCCGCAAACAGTTTGCTGAAGACAAGCAGATTAAAGACATGGATTACTGGAACCATGTCCTGTGGTCTGAAGAGATGTCATCATGGAGGAGTGGAAGAGGACTCCAGTGGCAACCTGTGTAGCTCTGGTGGACTCCCTGCCCAAGAGGGTTAAGGCAGTGCTGGAAAATAATGGTGGCCACACAAAATATTTGTGAACCAATTTGGACATTTGCACTTAGGGGTGTACTCACTTTTGTTGCCAGCGGTTTAGACATTAATGGCTGTGCGTTGAGTTATTTTGAGGGGACAGCAAATTTACAGTGTTACACAAGCTGTACACTCACTACTTTACATTGTAGCAAAGTGTAATTTCTTCAGAGTTGTCACATGAAAAGATATAATCAAATATTTACAGAAATGTGAGGGGTGTACTCGCTTTTGTGAGATACTGTACATATATACACGCACATATACACACACATATATATATATATATATATATATATATATATATATATATATATATATATATATATATATATATATATATATATACATATATATATATATATATATATATATATATATATATATATATATATATATATATATATATATATACACATACACACATATATATATATATATATATATATATATATATATATATATATATATATATATATATATATACACACACATATATATATATATATATATATATATATATATATATATATATATATATATATATATATATATATATATATATGTGTGTGTGTATGTGTATATGTGTATATATATATATGTGTATGTAATTACATACACAGGGAGTCCCAATACTCTCCATGCATAGGGGAAATTAACACTTTTTAGCATTATTTCTTTAAAAAAAAAATTCACACTTAGTTTATATTATGTATATTTTTTTTCAGATAACCATTGAGAATGCCTTTGATAAAAGAAGAATGTATTGAACTCATTCTCATTGCTGGATCGGGGAGCTGTCGCAAGGCTACAATGGACTTTAACAGGAAACATTTCGAGCACATCAAACGATTAGCATAATGTAAATGACGTTTTCTTTATACACTCTTGCCATACTTATTCAAACAAATTCACAAAGACTGGAAGTACAGCGGACCAACCAAGATGTGGACGTCTACGAACATCCATTGATGAAGGCACAACTGGTGTGGTGCTGGCAAACATAGACCCCTATGAATGGAGGCTTTTGGGACTCCCTTCTTATCTATCTATCTATATAAGCAATTGTACTTACAGTTCCTCAACTGTAGCTTCATTTTGTTTTTCCTGTATCTCCTCCTGAATTTTTTCTGCCTTAGAAGGTCTTACTGTAAGACTAAATACATACATATAACATAACATGTTTTGTTCCTTTTTATTTTGTACACTGTACAAAACATTAGTATAAGCAGTATCCCACTGTGTATACAGGTCTGTGCGTGTGTGGCTCCATAGGGACTATCAGGTAAACATACAGTCCTTCCAATAAACTTAATAAAGGCTCCCAGCACACCTGCACCTAATTCTGATGCACTCCCTAACAATCACACATACACAAATAAAAACAAAGTTTACAATAGGGTATACAGTCAATATAAACCAGTATACATATTAGACCAAAATCCCCACAGACCAGTCATTATTATGACTTTGAAAATCAAACTGTGCAGGAAGTTCCCACATTAAAATAAAGACCGATATTAAATCAGCTAGCTTGGTTCTACGCAGTGTTAAACAAAAATGTGCTCGTCTGGCTGGTCTGAAGTTACTTAGTCTGGCTTTATGAGTGAACAGATTTAAGTGTAGGTTCTATGTGCAACCACTTTCAAACACTTGTGATTTTTGGGCATGTCCTGCAGTTTGAATTATAGCAAAAATGCACGCCAAGCTGTCTAGAGTTGCGCAAAATGGTTAAAGTTCTTACCAGGAGCAGCTACAGCAACAGCACCAGCAGAAGCAGCAAGCGTTTGGAGGTGCGTTCAGCCAGCCAAGAGTGTACCTGTTCACGTTGTCCGGCATATCTTTGCTGGAAGAAGTGATCTGGACGGCATCTCCAGTGTCCTGTTCTGGACATTTCCCCATGTCCATCTGCTCAGACCCCATGAGCTACAACACAATAACATCACACATGGTATCAGACAAAAAACTGAAAGATGCATTGAACCTGATCAGTTGTACCTTACATAATAAGGAAACATGAGCCAACACAAGACATTGCCTTACTTACTGTATGTAAGTGGAATGTGTAGTCGGATTTTAGTGGTAGGCTGCAGTCTAATTGTGCAGGTGCCGCAATTAAAACACTAATGTGATGCAGAAACTCTGCAAGCTGTAACACTCTTAATTCATTTAAGCAGCTGTCCACTGGGACTAGTCCGGAAAAAAGGCCTGCATGCCAGAATACACAGCAGGCATTTAGCAAATAATGAAACTCCATTGAGATCAATTACAGCACAGCACCTGTGCACCAGCACAACATACACATGCATACGCACGGCTCTTCCAACAATTTCCATCAATCACGACCTGGTATTTCCAAGATAAAAAAGACATTATAACAATAGTTCAAAAAAACAAAACAAAAAAAAGTTTTCTGATTGAATCAGCGCCATGTTATAATAATACTTTTTTATTTCATTTTCTTAAAGCCGCATTTAAAGTCGTTTGAAACTGATCTTTAGGAATTTGAAATTGTATTTTAAGGAGAAAAATAAAAACTCCATAGGCCTTATATTTATAATAGCACACTAGCATACCATGCAAAGAAAAATGGCCCTTAAACGATGATTGATGCCAAATCAGTTGATTTGCTTCATTTTCAGTCATTCATCAATACGAATGAATTAAAACGCAGAACCGTGTAAAGCCAACATTATTATTTCACATATACAGGCTGTGATTAGCGTCGTGTCTCTTCCAGCGCATCCTCACATCCTGATACAGCCTGAGGAATCTGTCAAAGCACGAGCGTCATCAGCATGCAGTATACATGCCAGACATACTGTTACAGCACAATTACAACGCATAATCAAAGTCGGAATTGGTCGAAATACGTTAATTCGAGCACTGCTTACCGCATTACCACTGGCACCCGGTGTGGATAATTACAGGCGCGCTGCTTACACGCCCATTATCAACCCTGCGCTGTGCTCCAGTCTGCGCTCCAACTCCAGTGCGCATGCGCGCAGCTCTCTCCTGCGCGCTCTCTTCTGACGCGCGCGGCAACGGAAAAAACACGTGGCGAAGACTGCGTCCATAAGCGCACACTCAGCTAGACTATTACATGTTGTTTCGGGAAAACAGAAAGGTTTTCCTTTTATTTATTTATTTTAATAGGTTACCATAATGCGTTTTATTTAATCCTCTGATGTAACCTATTTCCCCCCACAAGAAAATATTTGGATAATACTAAATTATGTAATGTCGTTGAAGTAGTGCGGTTGAAATATGAATTAATGAACATACAAGGCCCAACATAATTATGTTCATTTGATTTTCATTAGAAAAGACTCTTAATGTGACCTAAACTGTTTATGTCACCGAGAAACAAGAAATTCTTGACTGAATGATAGCAGGTTGAAGGATTAAGGACAGTGATAGGCCACATCACCAACAGAGGGCACTAGCACTATTTCTATAAAGATGAGAGCACACAACCACAGAAAAAAAATTCTGAATCTAAATTAAATGAAAAACGCAATGTACCTTACACACACACACACACACACACACACACACACACACACACACACACACACACACACACACACACACACACACACACACATACAATGGATATTTCTGTAACGTAAAAAAAAACTGAAACCAAGATGAATCATGTCAGAGCCTTTTCTACCTTTGCTGTGAAATTGCAACCTATAAGCAAAGGTGAAAACAACAAGAAACATTGGGGCAGGGGTAAAGAAAAAAATGTACACTAACCAGGTTGCATAAGTGTGCACACCCCTAAAATAATGCTTAGTCTAAGCACCTTTTGCTTTTATCAAAGCATCAGTTTGGTACATCTTGACTTCACAATGTGTTGCCATTTGTCCTTACAAAAGCATTCTAACTTTGTCAAATTGGATAATCATCTCCTGTGCATAGCCATCTTCAAGTCACCCCACAGTTTTTCGACTGAATTTAAATCTGGACTCTGTCTGGTCCATTCCAAAACCTGATCTGGTTTTGGAGATGCCATTCCTTTGTTGATTTGGAGGTGTGCTTCCTGATGTTGTCATGATGAAATGTGAAAGTTCTCTTCATCTGAATTGTTTTAGCAGGAGCATAAATGTTTTGCAATAAAATTGACTGGTATTTGTAGCTATGCATGATTCCTTCCACCTTGACAAAAGCGCCATTTCTTCCTGAAGAAAAGCAGCCACTGTGCTTCACCAAGGGGTTTGTGTTCTTTTGTTGATGTGTTTTTTTTTTTTTTTTGCCAAACATACCTTTTGGAGTTATGGAATTATTATACTTTTTGAATTGGTCTCCTCAGACCATAATACAGTTTGCCACATGGTTTTGGAGTGATTTAGTTGAGTTTGGATGTTTTAGCTCACTGGAGTCAGTGGTAGCTCAGTGGTTAAGCTGTCAGACTACTGATTGGAAGGTCTTAAGTTCAAATCCTAGCACTGCCATTACTGGGTCCATGAGCAAGGCCCTTAATCCTCATATGCTCAATAGTGTAAATGTATGTCACTCTGAATAAGGATAAATGTAATGTTATGTTTTTTCGTGAGAAAGGGCTTCTGTCTAACCACCCTACCCCGTAGCCCAGACACATCAAGAAAATGAGAGATTGTTGTCACATGCACAGTAATCAGTACTTGTCAGATATTCCTGCAGCTCCTTTAATGTTGGTTTAGGTCTCTAGGGGTGGGGGTGGTGGATGGGGCAATCTCAGATGAAATTATTTTTTGGCAAAGAAAGGGCAGTTAGTATGCTTTGGATCATTATCCTGCTGAAAAAAAAACTCCACTTCTTTCATAATTTCTTCACTGATTTCTGCATCCATAATGCCTCTGTAGATTTCTCAGTTCATGATACTATCAATGAACACAAGCTCACCAACACTAACTGTAGGCAAATACAGACCCAGTCTTTGACATTTCACCACCATGCAGTTTGATTGGAATTACTTTCTTGGCACAAACACTCTACCATCAGATTCGTGGAGGTTAAATTTATATTCACCTGAAAATAAGACAGTTCTCCGGAAGCTGCTGTCTTTGTGTGCACGTTCTCCTGCAGATATCCTATTGTTGAGGCAGATGAATGGTTTCCACTGCTTTAATCTCCCTCTGTAACCATGCTTGATGATCCTGTTTTGTACAATTATCTTGAACAATCTGTTATTGGTCTTTCTGGGTCTGACTGTGCAGTCTCTGTTTTCGTTCACAAGTGTTTAAAAAAAATACAGTGGGCTATTACGAACAAAAATATTATACTAGACATTTTCTCAAAACAGAAAGCAGAGTAACCCCATGTAGATAGTAGTTCATTACATTTACTATGAATTAACTGTGACAACCAGAATAATCTGAAGTGTCCAAATACATGTTTGTTTCATTTAAAACAGTATCTCTTGGGTTTAAAAAAACATATTTTAAACATAACAATCTATTTGTTGGGCACTCTTGTGATTAATATAACTAAATGCTAATTCTTAACTGTTCTTAATTGTTAAGAAAAAAAATATGTAAAACCTTCTTTTCTGGTTAAAAAAAAGTATTGCATTGCAAATTAGATTTTAATGCACATTAAGAAGCAGACTGACCACTTGACTTGTTTTAGAGCCATTAGGGAACACCAGATGGCATACAACTTGAAAATTGTGGAGGTGTTAATGACTTGCAGCTGGGTGACACAGAATTACTATATATTTGTATCCAAATAATTCAAGAGGGAACAATTGAGACTTTGTGCCTCTCAGGGAGCCCAGCTTGGATTTTCTTTGAAAAGCAATGCAGATACCTCTCTTGAGATGACTTAAGGGTAGATTTGACAAAGACATGGGAGAGGTGCACGAAAGAGCAACAGTAATGTAATCCTAGGTTCTAATGTTAGGTTTTCCTGGCTTGATATTTTTGCCCTCTTAACCACCAATTTTAACAATAATATCAAGCCAACTGAAGCTTATTTCATCACCTTTGCAATGCAGTTAAATAAGAAAGGTTATTGTAAAGGTCTTTAGAATTTTTTTCCACAAATAGAATGACCAGAGAATAAATAATATATGCATCCAAATGTTTTCCCTAAAATATTAACAATGCTTTTTAAAAGCGAACTAAAAGTGCACACACACCTTTATACAGTGGTGCTTGAAAGTTTGTCAATTTTCTTTATAAATATGGCCTAAAACATCATTAGATTTTAGTCCTGAAAGTCCAGAAAATAGACAAAGAGAACCCATATAAACAAACTAGTCATTGGTCATTTATTTATTAAAGAAAATGATCCATTATATATTTGTGAGTGGCAAACGTATGCAAACCTCAAGGATTAGCAGTTTATTTTGAGGGTAAAATTAGAGTCAGGTTACAAAACCATCTCTAATTAGTTTGGAATCCAGAGTCAGATAGCTTACAGTGTACAAATGGAGGAAATTTTAGACCATTGTTAAGCTCCTCAGGAGTGGTCGACCATCAAAGATCACTCCAAGAGCAAGACTTTTAATAGTCCTTGAGGTCACAAAGGAACCCAGAGTAACTTCGAAGCACCTAAAGGCCTCTCTCAAATTGGCTACTGTTCACCATCGGGAAAACACTAAACAAAAATGTTGTATGGCAGGATTGTAAGGAGGAAACCACTGCTCTCCCAAAGGAACATTGCTGCCCTTTTGCAGTTTGCTAACAATCAAACCAGAAGGCTATTGGAAAAATGTTTTGTTGATGGATGAGACCAAAATAAAATTTTTGGCTTAAATGAAAAGTGTTATGTTTGGAGAAAGGAAAACACTGCATAAGAACCTTATCTCATCTGTGAAACATGGTGGTGGTAGTATCATGGTTTGGGCCTGTTTTGCTGCATCTGGGATGGGACGACTTGCCATCATTGATGGAACAATGAATTCTGAATTATACCTATGAATTCTAAAGGAAAATGTCAGGATATCTATCTGTGATCTGAATCTCAAGAGAATGTGAGTCATGCAGCAAGTCATTCACCTTAAGTTGTTCTACCAAAGATGTTTGGAAATGGCAAAGTCAATGTCCTGACCTTAATCCAATAGTAGTGTGGAAGGACCTGAAGCAAAAAGTTCATGTAAGGAAACCCACCAACATCCCAGAGTTGAAACTGTTCTGTACTGAGGAATGGGCTAAAATTCCTCCAAGCAGCAGATGTTTAGTTGGAGTTATGGGTGTACAAGAGTGCCGTAACATATACTGACAGCAAAGGTTCACATACTTTTGCCACTCACATATATGTAATATTGGATTGTTTTCATTGAAAAGTAAATTACAAAGTATAATAGTTTTGTCTTATTTGTGTAATTGGGTTCTCTTTGCCTACTTTTAGGACTTTTGTGATGTTTTAGGTCATATTTATGCAGACATATAGAAAATTCTCAAAGGTTCACAAACTTTCAAGCACATGAGTAAAATATTCCCACAATGTACTTACAATCAGATCCAGAATCATTGGTACCCTTGATAAAGATGGGTATATCAGATATAAAACTTATATGTTAAGTATAATGAAGCAGTCATTCATGACTTCCTGTTTCACTACAGTAGGTTATAAATACACAGAGGACAAATTTCCTTAGGCATTTCTCAATATTAGATTAATAAGATTAAAGAAGAGACAAACAAAATGATACAAATGTCTGTTGACTTTTATGCAATGCATATAAAAAAATACTGTAGCTATGGGACTGAAAATAACCATATCCACTGTTAGGGCAATAATTAAGATGTTTTAAACAACCAGAGCATTAATGAAATTGCCTGCAACTTAATGCAAGTGTATTTACCCCATACACTTGCAGAAGGTGGTTAGAGGCAAATTTTTCACAATTGGAGATTTGCAGAAGATGGTATCCCCCATGGTCACCCCCATAACCTAAACCCCATTGAAAATCTGTGGCTTTAACTGAAGAATTAGGACCCTGGAGGGTCTGGAGAGTATCTGTATTTAGAAGTATCATATTCCTTTACTTGTATTCTTCTGTATCTCATCAAGCATTATAGGAGAACACTCAGTACTGCTATTTTGGCAAAGGGAGCTTGGATAAAATCTTAAATCTTTAAATCTTATCTTTTATATTGTTTAATGTGGGATTAATGTAAATAACCTTAATTCCTTAATAATTCTTTCATAACCCCATTTATGCCCATCTTTACAAAGAGTGCCAATAATTCAGAAGCAGAACGTAAGTACAGTAACAAAGTATCCTCATTCTTTGGCTGTCACTTTCATGGTTTCCCTTTTCATGGGTCAGAGCCCTGAATGGAGCAATATGGCTCATCTCTCTCGCTACATGGTTTCAATTGAGGCAGTGAATGACCTGCTCAGCCTTTATCTATCTCATACTCTTTGGGCTGAACCCAGGTGTCATTAAATAAATACACTGTTCGTTTCAAAGGTTAGTAAGGCTTTTCATGTCTTTGCATCCCATTTTAAGCAGAGAAAGAAGAAATGGCAGAATCATTAGCATTTAGATAGAACTGTGAACAGCAACACAGAATGACTGAGCAGATGTAATCTTCAGCATGAAATGTTTTTATTGTAGGCCTACACAAAGCCATCCTTGATGCTTGATTGTTACACTCAATGTAGTAAATTGCCTTGAGTTATGGATGTTATGGATAGCCTTTAATGGGCCCTCTGTAAGTATTGTGGCAGTTTGCTGAAGACTCTGAAAGCTCATTAATAGCTACTTTACCTAATCAGCTCTACAGCAGAGGAAGCATGACGAGGTCTCTGCGCTCTGCTTTGCTCTCCAGACAGGAACATGCATAGAGTGAGCAAGAACATGGGCAGAAAGACTGGAACTGTACTAATGACCTGTCAGATCTCTTGTCTCTGTTTTCTCTCTCTGTCACTGTGCTCTTTTTGCCAGTGAAGGAGGGCGATCCAACACTTTGTGATCATAACATCCAGGCTTTCTGGTTGTAGGCAGCTGCAAGACTGCTCCCCAAGAGGAACTGCGATTATAGCCAAAGTATTCCTGCAGAGATGCAGAGATGAGAATCCTGGGTGTTTTTAGCACAACTGGAGCAAGTAATTTATTAGTCACATTCAATATTCATTGTAATAGTTTTTCAGAAGATGACGATAGCATTTGGTCAATAGTTAATGTTTTTTTTTTTTTACAAAATAGGAAATGACCATGATACCTTTGCTGATAATGATTTTGGTGTTTTCACATATTGCCATAAAATTCTTTAAACACTGCAGAAAAAATAACATTAAATGTGTCAAAATATATACTGTACGTAAAACATGACATTGTTTTACACATTAAAGTCATGTGCTTTTCTGAAAGGGATGTATATGAAAAAGCAGGAGAGTAAGTGAGCAAGTAATTTGGAGATTTTGTTGTAGAGATTTGTGGTTGCTTAAAAGTCTCAGCAAAGTTTTACTTCACTAATTCATTTGTTTGTATTTCCTGCTTCTCTTCCCATTATTTGTT